GAATTCGTTTCGGTAATGGTAGGATTATCGGAAGATTTTCAGATTTCTAATGTCTACCTTAGTTTTTTTTTTTTCATGATTCGGTTTTTTTCTTTTTCATTTTCTTAATTTTTTTTTTTTCATGATTCGGTTTTTTTCTTTTTCATTTTCTTAAATCTGATTGAGAGATATGGTTGGTGATTAATCAATTGTGTGGTGGTGAAAAACTTTTGAGAGGAAATCTGAAATGCGTGTCTGTACATGTAGATTTCTGGATTGGGTAGATCGAATTCTTAAATTGTTTACCATCGAGAAAGAATGTAGAAATCATGATTGTATAATTGGTATCCATAAGGTTCTGAGTTATTCGTTCGAATTTGCTTTTTTGTATATGGAATGGTTTTTCCTTTCCTTGCCATGAGAATTTGATCAATGAGCATTATGTGGTTGTACCTTTACAGGATTTAGGGAAGTTTGATGCTTATGTTCAAAAAGGAGATGTTTCTGAGTATAGGTTTTCCGATTTTGGATTCCGCTGTGTATCAATTTGAATGCATGAAAACTTGTTCTTCATTTCCACTGGAATTGTTCTGTTGTGCAGATAAATATTTTGGTCATATGGAATTGGTGATATCTCTGCATTTGCTCTGCTTTGAAGAAAGGTAAAATGCTGGCGAATTGGAAGAAACCACACACAGATTAATGCACTCGTCAGTCGACCTCTCTTGTAAATTTTCTTGAGACTCACGAGGTCGAGGGTGTATAGCATATGCTTATAGAAGATAAAGGATAATAATTATGGAGTCTGGTTCAGAGAAAAAATTTCCTCTCAACGCAAAAGACTACAAGTTACATGAAGAAATTGGAGATGGTGTCAGTGCCACTGTGCACAGAGCTTTGTGTATACCGCTTAATGAGGTTGTGGCTATCAAGGTCCTTGATCTGGAAAAGTGCAACAACGATCTGGTAAACACGCTAATTCATTCTTATTCTGAAGTATGAAAGAACGGCTTGCTTATTCCCAATTTCTATCTGTCTTTTCCAGTGTACTTTAAGACATTTTTTAGCTTCTTTTTTTCCTCTTTCATGCTTTGATACTTGTGAGTCCAATTGTCCTTCAGTTGCCTTAGAAAATAGAGAACACCTAAATGAATCTGCAAATTGTAATTGCATGTTCGATCTTATATTTGGATTTATTTTAAGTTTCACAAGCTTAAGCTAGATATATAGAATTAGATGCTGTTGCAAACACCGTGGAACCCTTGTCTCTGTTAATCTGAATGAGTAGAAATTGACTTGCTTGTAGGATGGGATTCGGAGAGAGGTGCAAACAATGAGTCTGATCAACCATCCAAATGTGTTACAAGCTCATTGCTCATTTACCACTGGGCACCAGCTATGGGTTGTGATGCCTTACATGGCTGGAGGATCCTGTCTCCATATAATAAAGTCGTCTTATCAAGATGGATTTGAGGAACCTGTTATCGCCACTTTACTCCGTGAGACTCTGAAAGCTCTTGTATATCTTCATGCTCATGGGCATATCCATAGGGATGTGAAGGTATTTGGTTGCATTATTTCCCTTTAGTATAGTGCTTCCCTCAATTATCTCTGGATGAAGGAAGGTCCTTTTGGTTTATTGGCCTTCTCTATTTAGTGGTGAGGATGTGCTATCGTTTTTATCAATACATATGGCTGGCTTCCTTTGCAGGCTGGAAACATTTTATTGGATTCCAATGGTGCCGTTAAGTTAGCAGACTTTGGAGTATCAGCTTGCATGTTTGATACAGGAGATAGACAACGTTCTAGAAATACATTCGTTGGGACTCCATGCTGGTACTTTTTTCATCTTTAGTAATGCCATATTCTGCGGGTATGTGCAGATACATCTTAGACGGAATCTCTGATTCATGCTTGTTTCTGCGCAGGATGGCTCCTGAAGTCATGCAGCAACTACATGGATATGATTTCAAGTAAGTTGATACTCTGTAAATTCTAAACTCTATATTTATGCTAAAACATTACTTCTGCACATATCACTCAGGTGTACTGTCTAATACGTTTTTCTGTCACAGAGCAGATGTATGGTCATTTGGAATAACGGCACTTGAATTGGCACATGGTCATGCCCCATTTTCCAAGTATCCGCCAATGAAAGTAAAGTTATAATGATGCCATTTGATTTATATTGATCTTCACTGCTCTCTGGTACTCAGTCTGTGTATTTTCTTTTTTTTGGTAATCATCACCGGTAGGTTTTGCTGATGACCTTACAAAATGCACCTCCCGGACTTGACTACGAGAGAGACAAAAGATTCTCAAAAGTGCGTGACTGGTCACAATTTGTTTGTATCATTCTAGCATCTTGTGATTTCTTTCCACCTTAATGATTGGTTTGCCCTAACAGGCCTTCAAGGAAATGGTGGGTACTTGCCTAGTGAAGGACCCCAAGAAGCGTCCAACTTCAGAAAAGCTTTTAAAGCACCCTTTTTTCAAGCATGCACGTCCAGCTGATTACCTGGTTCGGACAATTCTAAATGGTCTTCCTCCATTAGGTGAACGCTATAGAACAATAAAGGTCCCTGGCCCATCCTTTAAACTTATTCTGTCTCTTGCTGCGAAGAAAAATGGTGCAAAAGTTTGATTGGTTTGTGAATTCTTTCTTTCAGTCAAAGGAAGCTGATCTTCTAATGCAAAACAAATCTGAATACGAAGCGCACTTATCACAGGCAAGGATTAGGAAACAAAATTTTTACCCTTCTGTTTGACAGTATGCTGCAAAATGTCTTTAAGCTGCTAAATTTTAGCACCATCTTCTGGTATTCGAGTTTGATTGTGTGTTTGAATTATTTTTACATCTCGACTTCTGGTTTCTCTGCAGCAAGAATACATAAGGGGAATAAGTGCCTGGAATTTCAATCTCGAGGACCTAAAGAATCAGGCTGCCCTTGTAAGTTAGTACCTTTCTAGTTTAGTTAATTATACAGGGAAGGGGACTAATTTTACTTGCCTTGTAGATTTCGGATGATGATAGTTCACACACAGAAGAGCCCGATTTCAACAGAAAGCAATGTGAAAGACAGGATGAATCTGCTCTTTCCCCTGAAAGGGCTAGCAGCTCAGCAACAGCACCCAGTCAAGATGTATTATTTGAAACTTTTTAATATACTATTATCTGCTTGCTTTTGGAGAAACCAAAGAAAGTTTTAAGTGTGATTTCTGCTGCACGATGTCAACTCAACATGTCTTTCTTTGTTTTCTTTCAGGACGAGCTGAACGATATTCATGATTTAGAGAGTTCTTTCGCCTCATTTCCAATCAAACCTCTTCAAGCACTCAAGTACATCACATTCTCTAATCTTCTACTGTATTATCTAGCTCCTATAGATCTGGATACTATCGGAATGAAGCTCTAAGTACACTGGGGCAGGTGGTTTCATTGAGTAATATAACAGTTAGATAAATGCATTCCATAAGTATCCCTTCCCTCAAGTGTTATGAAGCTGCAACATTTCTGAATTTTGAAAGAAGGATTTAACTTTTTTCTACCTGTGCTATGATGCAGGGGCTGCTTTGATGTCAGCGAGGACGAGGATAATGCAACTACTCCTGATTGGAAAGATGCAAACCTAATGAATTCTGGACAACAGCTTTTAACAAAGGCTTCCATTGGATCTCTGGCCCATACCACGAAAGAAGAGGACACTGCCGCACAAAACACTTCTTTACCACGTCAGGTCTTTCCTGAACAGAAAAAATATTTGAGCGGTTCAGTTATACCAGAGAGTACTTTCTCTCCAAAAAGAATCACATCTGATGCTGACAGGTTAGCATTCTCAAAACTTATTGTTAGTGTTTCAACCTATCTCGACTTCCTTCATTGACTTGAAAGCTCTTGCTATGTACTTGAATGATGAGTTAATCAAAAGCCTCTTGACTTATTTCTGCAGGGAGTTTCAACAACGCAGATTTCCAACAGATCGGACCTTAAGTGGATCATTGTATCGCCCAAAGAGAGATTACGGTAATGATTTCTCATCTGCTCATTAGTCTACATGTAATTCTTTGTATAGCTTCAATTCAAATAAGTTTTTATGCAGTGGAAGAGACGACAGAAGCCCCCCATGTGGAGCACAAGGGGCGTTTTAAGGTCACATCAGCAGATCTGAGTCCCAAGGTATAACAAAGACCGTTGTCTATAAAATTCACATGCTTATTCATGTTTGTTGAAGCTATAATGGTCTTTCCAGAGAATGGTAGAATATAGCAATGTGTAGACTAGTTAGTTTTGCTTTATGAAATCTGAAGATGAGTTTCTGTTTTTGGTACAATTAGGGATCTACAAACTCATTCACACCGTTTAGTGGTGGTTCAAGCAGCCCGAGCTCCCTCAATGCTACGACCGCCTCAATCCTCCCATCAATTCAGTCCATTTTGCAGCAAAACGCCATGCAACGGGTAACTTTAAAACCATATGGAAAATTACTTTTACAGTCTTTACCTAATTAATCTTCTCTTGGCAGGACGAGATTTTGAGACTAATCAAATACGTGGAGCAAACCTCTGGTACTATAATCCCTTTTTCTTCTCTAAAATCTTATATATCCTTTTTTTTGTTGTTGAAGAATTCAACAGAAGTGTTCTGAGTTTGTTTTTGTCCCATTTCACAGTCAAGCAACCTGGATCACCCGAGACAAGCATCGATGAGCTATTGCAGGTAAAAGAACAAATTTTCAATTTTGTCTTCAAATCAAATCAATTGTATTCATCATATCCATTCTTCAAACATTCACTAACCTGAATTTGATATCATCTTGATGTAGACCCCTCCTGCAACGCCGCGCGAGAGAGAACTTCAGTCCCAAGTCATGCTACTACAACAAAGGTACATATACATATATATCCATCTCTTTCTTTCACCAAGACCCTGATTTACTAATCCTGAAATTTAAATATGAAATGTCTCAAATAATGCGAACAAACGTGACCAAGCTATAAGGCGCCTTATTCTTACTTAACATCAACACTGAATTACTTTTCTTTTCATCTTTGATGTTAAAAGCTTTTGGAGCCTAACAGAAGAACTAAAGAAACAGAAGCAGAAGAATGGGCAGGTTTGTCTTTTCTCACATTTTCAATTCCCAAATTGAATGATATAAATATGAGATCACGAGTTAACTTCATTCACCATCAATCGCTTTTGAGATAGAAACATATACACAGTAACGTATTAACCTTTCAAATGCATATACGCGCGCTAAATGGAAATCTTTTTCTTATTCTCTGCAGTTGGAGAATCAGTTAAATGCATTAACACACAGAAACGACTGAGTCTCATCAGTCATCGAGACAACGAATCACAAGCTCAGGGATGAAACTGGGGATCTTGATTAAAAACCCCTAATTCCCTCCCATTCAAGGCAAAGAAGAAGATAAAAAGGGGGAGAAATTTGTGTGTTTGATATATATATATATTGGGTGTAATTTATTTGACAGGTTTACATTCTGTTCTTTGTCAAACTACTACAATGTTTTTTCTTCCATTTGTTGAGTTTCCCGACTTTTCCTTTTGCAACCTCTGTGTGATTTATGTTGTGCTAATAATTTCAAAGGCGTTTGTACTGTTGTTTTCTTTTATCTCTCTTTTAAAGCTTTTAACACAATTGACATGACTTCTATCTCAAATCGGTTTATATTTCGTTGAATAACCAACATATAACACAAAAAAGTCACCACACCAACCAAACATCTTTATGCTAATCAATCCTTTAAATGGATAAAAGTATGTATTACCAGAGGCGATTCTCGATCACAGCTGCTACTATTTCCTTCAACGTCTCCTACAATAAAAAAA